CTTGAAGTGTAAACTTGTTTAATAAACCATATCTTTCATTTTCGATTTTTAATTCACGTAGTCCGGGAACTTTCCGGACAAACTGTGTATGTTCTTTAATTAATGCACACAAATTTATTTTACATTATCTTACATTTGCTACTTAATTATTTTCTTAACACTAAACAACAAAATATCAAATGGATCTTTTAAAAAGATATATAATTTTTTTGATCTTGTATCTAATTTCCCAAATTGCAATTCGAGATACAAATTTCCGCTGCTAGAAAGCTGGATTGGTCGAATTCGATTTAACTCTGGCAGGGCGTGTTTCGAACAAAACGCATATTTTGTTCCATGCTCTTTAAAGCCAATATCAGAATATTACGTGCATGAAAAAACAATCACTGTATCGATATACATTTAGTACATAAACAAAACGTAAAATAACTAATTACTATAATAATTAGAAATTTAGTTAATTAAGTAAGTAGTATCAATTAATTAGTATTATTCATGTGTTATCACAGGTGCAAAAAGCTTTGACGTGTGTGTTATAATAAAAGTTTTACAAGTAAAGTAAATAAAAACTTGTATCATAAAATTAAAAATAAAATAACGTTATTTATAATTAAGATAGAAAATATTTATTCATAAATGTAGGAAAATTATTAATAGACTTTCCTTGTATTACATTTTTAATATGATACAAGATGTTTATTATATATAATACAAGATGATTATTGTCTCAATATGTTCTTGTTGAAATAATAAAAGAGAGAAAAAAGAGAATATATACATATGTGTGTGATATATGCCATGTTATAAATAAAATCGATTACACGCCCCTCGCTGAATTATCGGCGATACCGACCGATGAAACTTTCTCCGATGTGCCGTTTGGCACATGTATTCAATAGGTGATTCACATCGCCTTATGTACAACGTGATCATAAAAAACCTGAAGAAAATTTGTTTTTTATGTATGCATTGTTTCTCTATAAAAGTAATAGAACAGAGAAATAAAATTTTTGATTATAAAAATACAAATTATTTTTTTGTTTTATAATACTGTACAGAATATTAAAATCAAGTTGTGTGCAATTTTATAATACGAGATATTAATTGCTTTTTCATCAGTTTCTCTTCTTTATTTTAAACATTTAAATGCATTAAATGTTTACGCTAAAGATTAAACAAAATATGTATCGATATTGCTTTAAATCAAAAGTGTTACAATAGTTTTGTTAATCAACCACATTTACATTAAATATAGATATATGTATCGTTCGTGGTTTTCTTTGAAACTACGCTGTACGTATGCATCGTTCCTTACAAAAAAATCACGTTCTATTTAACTGACGACAAAACGAGAACAAGGTTTCTCAAGAAATTGTAAGACTTAGCCAGCTTTAACATTATACAGAAAGACGAAGGTTATAATCGGAGAAAATTCCTTTGGTATATGAGAGTTATCGACACCAACATTGTTCAAAATCTCTGCGCTAATTCTTCGAACAAAATCGCTTTAATGTGTATTAATTATCTGACACAAGTAAGACTGATTGAATGAAATATTCAATTTAAAACCGTTACTACACAGCACAATTAAAATTTGCGTTTATGATTTGAATAATAATATGTCAGATAAGATTTTATTGTACATTAGTATAAATCACTTTCATCAAATGTTTATATAGCGATCACTTAAAATAAAACTTTAAAACAAAATTATTTCTATGAATTTGATTATTCATGTGATATAATGTGAAAATATTTAACATTAACGATTTGTATTGTTGATTTATTTGTAGTATTGATATTTTCTCTTCAAATTTTAAAATTATTTGAAGTATTTTAGATAAGTAGTTTTTTTACTATTGTAAAAATTTTATTCTTAGCATTACATACAAGCGATTTTTTGAAAAAAAAAACCAACATCTTACCTTTACTTTCCTGTTTTTAACGTTGGATGGAAGTGTTCAAGATCAGGCCAAAGCTATTGCTAATTCCGCGACGAAGACACAACGAATTGAGTTGCAATATAGGATTACGGAATTATAAGGCAAGGTTATCGTCTACTTCATTTTCAATAAGGTTAATAGAGAACGCGACGACCAAACGATTTCCTTGACACGTTCCTGCGCCTTAATTGAGTTACAGTTCGTAACGACAGCGAAAATCTGTTTTATCCGTCTGAGATATAATTCCGGATACTTCGCAATTTGACAGAAAAAAATTAATTATATAAAATTATGTTATACAAAATCTATCGTTAAAGGAAACAGTATTACTTTATTTGCTTGTATTATTATGTCTTATTGTCAGTCTGTTAACACATCTGACTTAATAAACAATAAGAGAAAAATCTTTTTAAACGTTATTTGAAAATAAAAATTTATTCTTTTTATAAAAATGCGTATAATGTTATTAAAATGTATACTCATTCGAAAAAAAAGAAAAAATCTAAAATAAACGTTAATATTCGCTGCTACTTAATTTACGTCATTATTGTATGTTTTCAGCTGTTGCTAACGTCTGATAAAACGGAACGACACAGGCGTCGTATAGAGTCATAGAGAAATTCAATACTTCTAGTTCAGAAACGTGGCGTTTATTTCCATAAAACTTGTAATTTATCCCGGGGGCGTATCGTCCGGCTCGAAACGTCAAGCGTGCTTGACATACAGATCGAAAAGTGCACCGGTTAACATGCACGTCACGAATGTCATATTCAAACTGCGGTAAAGCGACATTGTCGTGATCATGTAGAAAGTGGAGACAAATAAATAACCAATATAAAACCAATAACAAACAAAAATAACATGCAAAATTATTAATAATTAACGACAAATATATGTGAATTAAAACTTATGTAAAACTCCTTATGTTACTTTCAGCACGAAATTTATATATTTTATATATGGTACATCATTTTGTGTTATATTACCGTATTTTGTTAACAAACTTACTTTATTCAGTTACATCGTCGAACACAAAACGTATGCAGTAAATAAAAAAAAAAAAAATAAAATAAGTCCACACATATTTTGGAGATTCTCTTTTTTCACAAAATTGTAAACTATTCTTATTTATACACCACTACATGAACCGAATACACGCAACCAAAATAAAATACAAACATATTTCACTTGCGGTTTTTCATTGCAAAAGAAAAAACAATGTTTTAGAAGCAAGAGTTTTGGTTTGGTTTATACAATGGGAGACAGACGCTATAATCATCAGCTTCGAATAGCGTGTCTTATTTTTTTGTACATTTCCATAGAAATTGTAGAAATCTATGCGTGACTTATTGTCAGCTAGCTAGATTAGGTTATATACGATAGCGCGATTGACAAACAACTGATTGTCTCTGTATTTGGGAATCGTCACCAAACACTTTTATTTCGACCGTGATGTGTTGATGGCACAGACGCATTTGCTTTTTATCGGATTATATTCTTTTAAAATTTCTCGCTTAAAAGTTTCAACTGCAATACAAATAAATATTAATGGTTTTTGTTGCTTTTTGTGCAATACGTATACATATAAAGTTTTTATAGCACAAACTTGGATTTTTGTTACTTTTTGTTATGTGAGATGCAAAAACACGAAAAAAACGATCTTCCAAATCCGGAAAAGTATTGGCCAATAAATACGTACAGAAATGCATTGCAGCAACAATTTATGCGAAATTTCTCTGTTGGCTACTTCAGAAGAAATGCGTTCAAAAGACGTGAAACACAAAATGCGCACGCACAAGAGGATTTTGGCGCGAATACAAAACTCATTTTCTTGCTGCATCTCTTTCCTCTTGTCACAACTCTTATAATTAAAAAATTTTAATTGAATATTAATTCAATTTATTAGTGTTAAGTGACTTTTTGAAGAGAAAAAAGAAGCTTAATTAGCTATTTGCTTGGCAAAATTTCAAGAAATTTAATTAAAAAAATGCTGATTAAAATTGCACCAAAATGATACGCGTAAATCGAGTTTACGTATCTCCAAGCTCGGGAACGTGAGATTAATACGTAAAGAATATCTTGATAATTTCAGTAACACGCTTGAAAGTTTGTCTTACAAACTCCTGCAACTCTTTTGATCGTTGTAGGTTCAAAAGATGGCATATAAAACGCATAAAACATTAAGCAATCAAGCTCAGCTGTCTGAATGAAAATCGATCGAGGTTGTTCACCTCTCTTACTTATACGTATGCACGTATGTAATGTATGTTGATACGTTTATTGAAACCTCGATCGATATTATATAAATATTTTATTCTTATAAACGCTTTTTGTCAAGTATCCGTGTATATGTCACGCATATACAACGATCGTTGACAATTAACATGTGTGATCTACTATCGTTCATTGAAATAATCAAATTCTTCATTTTAATTTTCAAGCTTTACTTCGCAGAAAGCAAGTAAGTAAAATAATTCTAGTATTTGTTTTCTCTCTGTCGCATATGATCTTATAATTTCTGATATGACAATTTTCTTTATTGTTTTCTGTTTTATAAAATATATGAACACAATAAAACTTTATTTCTGATATTTAGCTATTTTTATCACAGTTTTTGTAAACAAGAAATAAAAATGTTATATTATACTATTTTATACTAAACTTCTTTTATAATTTGATATTTTATATAATCGTGATTTCATAGTAATTACGTTTCAAATTCTTTCATTTCTTCGAGTATTTAGTTTTTTGCTGTGCTAATTTTACATATGTTAACAAGTTCATGTTAATAATTTCAAGAATTAAAATAAAAACCAGATTAAGTTTTAATTATGTTATATTAAACCTGAAAAATATATATAAATATATTTTATAATTACACAGAGAGATTGCTTAATTATAAAATATTAATATTTTGTAAGTATACACTAGAAAATAATTATTTACTATTCTCGATCAAATATTACACTACATTTTTCAATCAAATATTATACTATATTTTTTAATAAATTAATTAAAACATTATATTAATTAATAAAATTTAACACATTTCTCTTAAAAATATACTTCAAAACTTAAAACTATTTAACACTACTTAACAAACAAAATCATATTATATTACCAAATTACATAACACAATAATTATTTTTGCTTAACAATCATAAATTACTAAAATAAACACAGTCGTTTTTGCTCTTTTAAATTATTTTTACGCGTAGAGTTAACAGTATTGAGTTAACAGTAATACTTGAAATAATTAACTAGTCAAATGCATGTGATTCTGTGTGTTAGCTCTGGATTACTACATGACATTATATAATCATATTTTACTATTTCGGTTATGTGATATACATAAAATTTTCTCTCTTGAGTTATTTCAAATACTGACCATTACATAAATAAAAACAAAAAAAAAACCGAAAAAGGAAGAAAAGAATTAGGTGTCGGACAATTTTCCGAGACGAGTAGTTAATCTAAGATTAATAAACTATACAAATCTCTAACATAATAATTTTTTAATAGAAAATACCAAAACTGATTCTGTGAATAATAAATATATTCCTATTACATCGGAATTAGTATTAGTTTTATCGCAACTATTGCGTGATTACAAAAACACAACTTTATAGCAAACAAGATTCTCTAAAAAAAAAAAATTGCTTAATACGCTCTAGAGATTAGAAACTCTCTTCTCTTATTGCTCGCAAATTTTCCATTTTGAACAGTTTACATAGAGACAACTTGGCTACACATAGAGACAACTTCGAAATAAGTCACATCTGTCTACTTTACACCACCACACGTGTTTTAATGCACTATTTATTGAGCACTTTAAACGAGAAATATTACGATGAATTATTTAACGCTTTTACTTTGATATGCAAGTGAACGCTACTTTTCACATCGCAAATTTTACGTTCTGTAATACGGTCTATAGGTGGACATCGGGATATTGTTTTTCGATAAATGATGAACGTCACCCTGATCGTACTCCACGTCGTTGTAAATCCCGCTTTGATTCTGATATGCAAATGAACAATCAATTAGCTTCTGAAGTTGCGGTTATTAGAATTGAATCGAATTAAATAGTTTGATTCGACTTAATTCTGGTTATATTTCTTATCGTATTTCATTTCGTTTTTAAAATAAAAAGCGCTAGACAAAAAAAAACAAAGCATTTGTACAAGAATCTAGTCATTTAAAGAGAAATTGATAGAAATTTGTTTTACAAAGTTAATGGCTTTTAATCTTTGGAGAATGATTGGTTTTATAATTAAATTATATATCGAATTTCTTTCTGTTTCTCTTTACTTTTGCTTTATTCAAATTTAATAAAATTTAGAGATTAAGTAAAAATTTAAAAATTTTTTTTTTTATTCTTTTTTATATTTAATATTTTAATTATATAATTTTTAAGTGCACAATTCAGTGTTTTTTCAGATTAATATAATGAAAACATTTTTTTACAGAAATAAATGTTAAAACCAATCTTCTCTCAAAATCACCAAGATTAAATATTTAATTTCACATAAATGACTTCTTTTTCTCAATCCGCTTTACTTCATCTAATTATTTCGTCTCATGATATAATATAATATATTTAGCAATTTAAATTAATACTCACCGCTAATGACGATCTCGACTTCGGCCTGGGTACGTGAAAACCATTGTTCTGAGGAATTAGATCAGCTCTATCCTTATCCTGTGGCTCAGAATCTGAGCTATCCGGATCCGGTTGAGATCTCTGCCTCGGCCGGGGTGGGGCCTGAAGCCGCGGTAATGGGACCGGAGGTAATGTTCCATGAACATTCATGGGTGGATAACCGAACATTGCCGAACTCGGCCGCGTTGGGCCAATAGGTTCAGTCTGCGATCAAATGTTTTATAAAATCTTTTTTAGTAAAAAATATAATTTTAAAAGTTTTTTTTCTATATTTGATATTTGCCATTATAAATATTAATAAAAATGCATACCGCATAGACATTTGCTGTAGCCATGTGCTCTCCAAAATGAGCCCACATGTAAGGTGGCAAATTTGTCGGTGGTCCTTGTTTCACTGACGTTAAAGTGCCTACAGATCCAACTCTTGCTAAAGTCCCTGTAAATTAGTTGCGTTTTTAAATTTGTGCCGTTAGTAAGTTTTACATTTTTACTGCTCTAAGTGACTTTACCTGGAAGAGTACTAGGTATTCCACCCTGGATATAACCATATACCGGAGAACACGCAGATTTTTGTTCGCGAGACCACTTTCGACTATAAAATATAAGTATATAGATAGTAAAATTTATATATTAATATAGATATATACAATATAATTTATTAGATGAGATACATGCATATATATACATACACAATAATAATATTTATATCAAATCTGACTTTAATAACAATTACCTCCACATAACAAGACAGATTAGCGTCAGAACTATAATTATTAAAGCAGCCACAGATGCGCCTATAGCAACGCCTAAAACTTCACCATCGACTTCACACTGCGCTCCGTAGTAATTTCCAGTACATCTAAAAATTACAAAAAAATTTATAATACAAAAATTTATAATAAATATATGCAAAATTAGTTTACTTACGCGCACTGCATTTGATCTCCTTGATAAGAGCAGGTACCACGATTGTTGCAATATGTTGAAGGACATGATAAACATGTTCTACCGGATTCACTAGGATCATCTTTGTGAGGATCTTTCAATCCCGGACTGCAGAAACATATGAAACCACCGAAGATATTAGTACAACTGGCAGATGAGTGACAATCGTTCAGCTCTGACGAAGCGCATTCGTCCAAATCTACAAATTGAATGATTCTTTTTGCATTACAGACTTTTACTCATTGAAATTGTTCTGATTGTAATTAATTATCCTTACCTTGTAGATTCGATATGGATCCAGCTGGACTGTCCACGTATAAAGCACTATTTCCAATATTGTTATTTCTTCTATGTATAACACCCAGTAGATGTCTTTGAAGTTCACCTGCCAAACTCGGCCTGGTCGTTCTTGGATCGTACATAAGCTTCAGTGTTGCATTCACAAAAATTCCACCTTGTCCTTGGCTCACATCTCCTTGATAAACGTTATTTATTTGCGATCCCATATATTCATCCGAAAATGGCGTCATAGACATAGCAGATTCAACCTATATAACAAAGAAATAATGTATGCCTTGTTATTCTTTCTTCAATAATTTAGACTTACAGCTCTGTTTGCCTCGTAAGCGAGAGTCTGATACAATTCTGAATCCTTATCGGCTAGTCCTCCATCCCACACGATTTTCTTCTCGTAAAATTTGTCGACTCTGATGGACACAACGATACTAACAATTCCTGGAAACAGTGTTGGATAGAAATTTTAGATTATGACTTGATATGTACGTTGTAACATTTGATCGTTTATTAACTTTTACAAGGAAGCGAGTGCTGTAATCTTGCGTATCCTGGCTTGCATTGACAAGCTGATACTCCTTGAATGGTTGCACAAGCTTCGTGTTGACTTGAGTCACATGTACTCGTGTCGCCCACAATGCAAGTATCTATTCTGACAGGTGGCTGCGTTGGTCTTCGATATAACGATGGTTGCCTGCGATTGGGTGCATTTGGACGCGAAGTAACAACAGGAGCATCCGGTTGTGGAATAGCGAGGCTGTCATAAAAAAAAGTACAAGTAAATTGACGTGATTATATCTTCGTCAAGCTGCTTGTTTCGTAATCGAAATAAATAGAAACATTTTGAAATAAATTTTTTTTCAAATCAGAAGACTAAATTGTTTCAATAAGTATACATTTGTGTTGAAAAGATAAAATAACAAATAAAATTTCAATCTATAATACTAAAGTGTATCCGGAAAGATTTTTAGTTGGCAATGGTATTAGATTCGTGAAAAATAACAAAATACTTACCCAGTGCCAATGATGGATGGCGATTGAGTTTTAATTGGATGTGGCTGTATGTGAGTCGGTTCAGGTGTTCGATCTGTATTGTCGAACAAATTTATATACGTCCTTTTACCATCAATACTTACAAATCCTTCTCCGCCCACAGCGGAAGTTAATATGACGTCATTGCTACCTGAATTCAAAGATACTCTAATGCTGTCGCCTAAATTAAACAAAAAAGAGATAAATTAAAATTTATTTGCTCATATAAAAAAATGTATAATTTATGTTTATAAATTTTAATGAAAAATAAAATTCTTTACATATATACTTTAATACATACACACACACACACACACACACATATATATATATATATATATATATATTGTGACGTGACGCCCTTCCGGCGCCAGTCACTTATATGAATTATAATAATTTTCTGAAAGAGTCGGGAAGTCGTGTCTTCTCGGGATCGAGACAGAAAAAAGAGAGAGCGATTTCCGTCTTTTGTCGTAAATGTTACGCGCTATTTTTTCCATATCCCGTTGTCTTTCGCGTCTAATCGAACATAGAGTTCGACAGAAAACTTTCGCGTTGCGCTGGCATTCTCAGGACGCTGCGAGTTGCCTGTTTTGCAGTTGCTTTCTCGGGACGCCGAGAAACGCATATTTTTATGTTGCAATTGCATTCTCGAGACGCCGAGATTCGCCTTGTTTGTGTAGGATTTGGCGGTGGACAAACTCGGAGGCATCTTATTATTGCCAGCGTTTAGTAGAAAGAGAAGCAGCGAGGCCCTATCAGAGCGGAAACGACGAGAAACGAAGAGAGAAGCGATCGCACGAACAACGCGGTCACAATATATATTAAAAACGTATACAAAAAGAAAATCGCTAAAAACTTAATCAAAACTGGAATGTCCAGATGTGAAAAATAAAATAAATAAATAAAAGAATCACCAGTACTTCCTCCGGGCCCGTGAATCGCTGAAACAGTTACATCAAAAATATCACCGAGTGATGGATGTCTCGAAGATGCATAAGGCCTCTGACTTGGTAATCCTTGCGCTGTTGTGTAATCCAAAGTGTCATCTAAGACAATTCCAGGTCGCGGTCGATAGCGTTGTGTAGATTCTGTTTTAATAATTTTAAGATTGTACATATTAAAATCCTTATATTGTATACATCAGAGATATAGCAAATAATATGTATATATTAATAAAAATAACGCTGAAAATTATATACACTTATATATTTTTCTATAAGGTAGTATACATAGTAGTAGTATACTTGCCTGTAGTTTTTGTAAAGGTTGAGACCGTGGAATGAACAACACTCTTTTCCATCGTAGTCGAACTCTTCGTATAACTCGCAGGAAGACCGTCGGTAGGCGTTGGAGTTGAGATAGTGGAAATCGGTTCGGTATACTCAATATCTGATACACTGCTGGGTTCCAAATATACGTACGGCTTAGTATTAATGCTTGACTCCACGGTAGTCGCGGTCGGTCGAAGAATAGCTTTTGTCGATGTAGATTCGATCACTTTGATTGACGAACTAGTTTCGATGTTTAAGGTACTGGTCGAAAAAGTCTTCATGGATGTTTTTGAAGCGGTTGAGATGGTAGTTTTCTCGAATGGTTTCTCCTCTTTGATAGTTGCAGACGCTTTCTCGTCGTTTTTCGAAGATTTTGTACCTTGACTGTTTAAAGTTGTCAGCGTTTTCGAAAGTTCCGGAAGTCGCGCAGTATGAGTCGAAGCAACATAATCTGTTGTGGCAACGCCAAGTATCAATGTCTGCTCGCTATTGATTTCCTTCGAAGGCGGTTGAAACTTCGTAACATGATGCTTCTTCGTGGATTCTTCAACTTCAGATTTTCTCGTGATGTTCTGAGTAGCTGAGTCGTTAGTCATCGTCATAGGTTCGACTCGATCCTTGTCACCGTTAACATTGCTCGTATGATTATTAATATCATTATCTTTAATAGGTGTTTCTTGATTACTAGCATCTTTCTTTATTGTCGAACTTTCTTGAGGCGTTTCAGATTCTGGTTTTAAATTATACTGCGCATTTTCCTTGTCACGATAAGAAGTGGAATCTAGCGTAGGCAGGAAAGGTTTATTGTAAGATGATGACGGTCGTCTGTTTCCATCTTTAAAAAGATAAGTATCTCCAAGTAATTATTTTATTATAAGATAAAAATATACATTTTTAACTTTTAAATCCGATAAAATCTATTTCACGCTACGTACTCACATACCCCGTTATGTTAAAGTATTTATGTAAAATATGATGAATAATAAGATAAATAATTAGATGCGTAATTATTAAAGAAAAATATACGACGTACTATGAGAAAAGTCCCAACTCCAGGGCGGTACAACTTGCTCTGGTAGTGGCACTCCGCTGATGAAGGGTCTAACAGGTCTCTCTGGTGGCAACTGATTCAACAAAGGTGCAGAAGTCCTCTCGAAAGGATAAGGATGCGATGATGGAGGTGGCGGCGGTGGATTCATACCCGGAGTATCAAAGTCCGGCGGTAACGGCGGTACGTCCGAGATTCTAGGCGGTCCTCGGTTGTTGATTCTATAAGTATAAAAAATATACATAGATAATTATTGTCAAACAATTAGAGAAACACATATAATTTTTAGAGAATTATTGCAACAATATTAATTACAAAATTATCTTTTCCAATTTGATTTTCTAATTTGATTTGCTTGATATTATTATAATAATATTTTTTATGTAATATAATAATTTATGTATTATAATAATTTTTTATGTAAAAACTAAAAAGACAGACAGATTGATAGATATTAAAACTTTTTATACAATATATTTATACAATATACCTTGTGGCCTGAATTGGTCTTAGTGGTCTCACAGTATTAGCGGCTACATTCACATTACCATTTAGCAACTTAACAATACCAGTAATGATGTCCTGTATATCGGGGTTTGCTTGTCTACCTGGCGAGGCGGTTTGCGAGACCAACGGTGGTGGTGCGTGCTCGCTATAGATCCTCGGGATCTCTTGACGACCTCGTCGTTGCAGATCCGTTACTGATGAATGCAATACTTGTAACCTCGGCGCGCCAATCGGCTGATGGGGCTCCGACCGGAGTTCTACTCCCAGCGGAGCCCCTTGTTCTTCCCCCGACATTGACTTGCTAGTAGTAGGCACTATGCTATTAAAGATATAATAAATATTATAAAATCTTTGTACACTTGACATGTTGTAGAGATAAAAAACATCAAGAAATAATTACATTACAGTTTGGCAAATTAATTTTATTGATTTAATTTTGAATTTAAATTTAATATTTAAATTTAATATTTGAACGTCTATAAAGACTTGAGCTTTTGGAATTTTTTATGGCTGTATAATACATGCCTAATTAACATGCTACTATTTGTTACTTTTATCAAGGAGATATAGTTATTACTGATAATAAAAACAACCATTACAAAGTTTAGAGTTTTTTTATGTAATTCGCCCGATTTATACTGGTATTCATAAAAACAAAATGGCTTACTGAAAGTACTCTCCGGCTTTCACCTCAATGTTATTGCCGTCGATATGAGCCACGTGCTTCGACGGTATTAGTTCATCGATGGGCTCGTCGCGATTCGTATCTTTAAATGTAAACCTGGTCTCCTCTTTATCGTAATTGTTAACGCTCTTCGAACTTTCTAGCTGAAACGCTGGGACGGTTCTCTGGAAAATCAAAGACTCATCTAGTTGACTTCTGCTGGATGTTTTTTCAGGTCCGGTGTAAGCGCTAGCACTTAGCACGATATTTTCCCGGGACATATGAGAAGACGTTCTATCATTCTGTATAGCTGATACTCCTGTAAGTAATAAAAATCTTATATGTCAACTTTTCTGTAGTCTCTATTAACGAAAGATGAAATGTTTGACAAGTAAGACAAGATGAATTATTCATCATAAAATATCACTTTTATCAAAAAATATATTATTTAATAAGGTGATGCAAAATTTACATTCTCTTATTTTGAGTATAATCAAATAAATTATATAAAATTTTTTATCTCTGACATTTTAACAGCAGAATGTTGTAAGACACCAGCTTTATACAATCGACTACAAATCTCATGCGTAAGGGCGATAAACCCAAATATAATGCATGCATGTACGACTTAAGGCGAATATTAAAACGGTAAACCACTGAAGTAAAGACTATTAGGACTACGGTCGTGGAAGGAATAGCCTTCATGCTTGAAGGACTTGTTGTATAATATCTGCATAAAAGGTTAACAAACTTTTTTCGCCATATTTCATAACAACAGCTATTTGCAGAAGATTGAGTACGCTTCGAAAATGATGTTCGAACATTGAAAGGATTGATCGAAAAAAGAGGCAATTGTTGTAGATTAATAAAGGACATTAAAAGCAATTGCTATTTCCTTGTTCCGCTATGTGTAAAATTATATAATTATATTGTCGTTAGAGCGTAATTAATCTCGCGATGCTTGCGTGAGAAAGATCTTGTATGTTAAATCGAAAAAAGATATACGCAAACATTCAAACTTGGAAAAGATATTTTATGATTTTCGCACGCGGCCCTTACTAAAGGAAGTACAAATATGCGCGTGAACAAGATTTTATATTCCGCAGAGGAAACTGGTAAATTCGCACGATGTTGAAGATAATGCGCAATAGCTCTTTGTATCAAAGCAACGAAAATTACTGCAAATATTTTTCTTTATTGCATCGTAAGGAGTCTCATTTTTACGACAGATTAAATAAATTGCATAATACAGAACTTCAGTTAATTGCATAAAGATTATATTTGCTTAAGTTTTGCAATCATTATTAAAAAGCATATTTTCCAAACTAGGAAAGAAAATCTCTCTTTCGCTCTCTCTCTCTCTCTCTCTCTCTCTNNNTCTCTCTCTCTCTCTCTCTCTCTCTCTCTCTCTCTCTCTCTCTGCTTTTCGCACCATGAAAGCATCTTTAACGATCAAAGATAAAAAAGTTTATTGACATCGACGATCTCGAGCACGTCTTCTTGAATCAAATAATTGCACGTCGAAATCGATCAGTCTAAGATTCTTTTTGATAGAAAAGCCAATCAAGCAATAGACGGAAATAGATACTCGGCCACTTGTCTCAATCGCTCGTGTTGATCTTATTGAGACGAAAGAAGCAGAGTCGATTTCATTTAAACGTCGAACAATACTTACGATATTCAACATGATTTTGGAGATTGCTTTAGTTTTAAATTTAATTGTTTTCAGTAGCACAAATAAATTTTTTTAGTTTTGCAACACAATACTCTAATATCTAAAAATAATGTAAAAAAAACAGAAATAGTGTACATAGAAAGATTGTTATATCGCATAAAATCATTAATCTTGCAAAAGTAAAAATTAATAAAGATGCAGACACGTAATCATTATGTTTACGGTACTATGAATTAATAGGAAACGCAGTCTTATCTATCGCGATCTTTGTGTAAAGCAAGAACTTTGTTCTAATGTTCTTGCGATTCAGATTACGTTAAGCAAATCACAACGTTCGCATTGCTCTGTGTCGTTTATTAATTATTCATTAGCAAAGGTGCTGATCAATTTAGGTAAAAAGTACAATTGTGTCTTTGCGAATCGGTTCGCTGCGGTTAGTTTACTCTCTCGCCAAGTCTCGCTTCCGCGTGCATTTATTTACTTTTAATTGATCGTTAAGCAACGTACGCGACAAATTGCGATTTCGTGCACAATGCCAATTCACAAACAGGGTAAGCATGAGCTGCATTTCCAATGTAAATTTGTCCGCAGCTTCAATGCACATAATACTATTGCACAATTAAATTGCAATAAAAAAGGATAATAAAAAAGTGCCTCGGATTTTAAAGAAATAAAATCGTTATTCTCTTTTGCGATAAATTACGTTATATGCAAAATTAGATATTATATGATCCTATTTCTTCTTGCATAACACTCAAATATTAAAAAAAAAATTATTTCGGGAACATAACGATATCAACAGAAATTAAATTTACGGAGTATTTTTCTTTTTTGCGATGAAAATTTTATCTAGCTTTACACGTGTTCAGTTCTCAAGATAGTGACAATCTTTGACTAAACTGTCAGATATCACTCTTTTCTTATCCTCTCACTGCTTCGCTGTGTAATGGAGTTTAACGACGTCTCTGTCCTAAATGGCAGAAAAGTAAAACATAAAAGTGAGTCAGCTGTTAATCTCCGTTACAGCATGAAAATGCCGACTAGCAGTTCATGATTATATAATTAAAGACAACAACTATACAATTTCCCTATATTCTCACGGTACTCTCTCGATAGCGTTCAACATAATATGCGTTATGAACGCATAAGGTAGTTTGTCATAACTCTAGATGTGGCTAAAAAACCGCAAACCTAACGCTCACAATAGTAGAACATTCCGTGTGTAACAGAATAATAATATATTATAATTGCGAGCAAATCGGTGCTCTATACGGGAGCTGATATTCAGTACAGATGTGTAGTATATTTTTTGCGTACACTTTTAATCCATATAAAAATACAATGTCCCATGTGCGTTTGCATACGAAAATTTTTAACACAATTAAATTTCTCGGACATAAGTCATAAAAATGTGAACACAAACGGTTATTAATTAAAAATATTATTTCATAATTGTTATTGTAGATAAATAATGATGCAAAGACCAAATTATAAAATGTTGAATAATATACCATCATTGATAATAATAATAATAATAATAATAATTCTTTTAATATTTCTTGAAAAGTATAATCCTATTTTTATAAAAAATTTCATGTTTTTATGTACATATATGATAATTTCTATACATATTTTTATATCTATTTATGTCTTCTTTTAATTTATTTTATATTTCTTATTGTGTATATATAATATATACATATATACATATATGAAGAGAAATATGATGTTTAAAAATAGGTAACATCAGCAACATCGCGCATTGAATGGTTCGCGTCAATGAAATCTTTAAAATAAAATTCCAACCGGTCGTTCCGCGCGCTACCAAACGCCATTTTATCGATATGCATTAATAAAAGATATTTTTATAGTTTGCGCTGTAACAAGTAACGGAGTTCACTGTGATCTCTACTACTAAAAGAACTGTGAGAATGTAGGTGAATAGCAAACGCTGCCGCGTCGTACCGAATGGAATGCAGTCTCTGCGAACTCTCGAAAACCGGAATATTTTGCATTTTCAACGATAGGTATTGCTGTAGTAAACCTTATATCGAACTATGATAAAACTTCTTTCACCTGCAATTGTACTTGAAATAATTATTTAACAAATATACGAAAGTATCTACGCGACGTACCGCAACGGCGATCTTTCAGCACAGTGATACTTTTACTTCGTTAATTAACTTTCAGAACATTTCTTGATGAATTGCTCGTCGAAAAACGCTATAATTACAAACAAAGTTGCTCAAAAAAGAGCGGTGCTATTCTTTTATATTAAAAGAGAAATTTATATTTATACAACTATTAAAACAGAATAAAATTTCTGAACATTTTGCTTTGAAAAATAAATTTATGGTTAAAAGAATGAATTCTGATGACAATAAATCAATTCGAAGTTTTTGTCATCAAACAGTTACAAGAAAAACGCACGTTGCCAATATGATGCAAAAGACGAAAGCAAGACACGAGCAGAACCGTAAAGATAAGGTTCTTATGGTTGCTTATAGAAACCACAGGTTGCCACAGGTTGCCACAGGTTAACACAACTAGTCACCGGTAAAGTACTGAATGCTAAGAAAGATAGATCTTTTGCAATGACATATATTTCTAAGAGACACGTAACACAAAGTACACAGCAAGATAGAACTGTTATACCTATCGTATCTACGCGAGAAAAATACATATAAAAATATTACTGGTTTCAAGAATTGGCACCGCAAGTAATATCAGTCGATAACGATGACAGCCTAAGACTAACATTAGAGCGCATATTACACGCACGAATGATTTCGAGAAGCGTAACCGATTAACACGAGGGACTTCTTCGACATATCTTGTCTAATTCAAAAGTTCGATCCGGTTCGCACGGCCCCGATGAATTTCCCACAATGCGTGTGTGCGCGAATAACGCTGAATCTTTAGCGATAATTTTATTGTTTGCATTGCACGCCCATAGTTGTAAGAAATTCTGTCGTCGTAATGTTTTTTTTTATTTATTTCCGATTGACACAAATTTAGAATAATTGAAAATCATGAACTAATAAAATGAATTTTTTTTTGCCGTTTTTGCGCGTTTTCTTTGTTTAGATTACATAATCTTTAATAAGCTTTGTCTAGCACAATCTTAAAAGAACAGAAAAAAAATCTGAGGGGTTATCCGTAGATGTGTACATCGAGCTATGTGCTGTCTCTCGAGGCGGTAACGGCAGACTTAACGGTATCCCATTCCAGCCCAATATTTATTCTTTTCACTGGTGAACGCGACATTTTCTTTTTTCTACACGATGCAGTTTGACAATATAAAGTTGTAAAACCCGATGCTGTAGAAGAAAATTGTCGCGTGAAAATGACACTCAAGAAAACACTATTTTATAACAGTCTGTATAGTCGCGACACGTGATGAAAGCGCACGCAATTCCATACGTTTAGGTACGCGATTCACAAACCTACGTTAACTGAAATAAAACACGCAATTATTACGTTAATAGAAAACTATTAAACTACACGTGAAAAAATCGACGAAAGATTCACAACCACATTTTGAACAATTAGAAACTTTTATAATTATTTTATTTTTTTATCAGATCATACGTTCTTCGTGTTTCAAGTTATGATGAATCGTATCATGCCGTTTTTTAATCCTTTAAGTTATAATTTAGCTTTTTATTTTGTATTATAAGTGTTCAATAGTTGCCTGAAATGAATGAATTTTATGTAACTTTTTTTCGATTTTTATTTTCAGAAATTCGATATATA